TCTTTCTTTTCATCATATCATCTCGGAATGCAACTTACTTCACTTATCCACCAAACGATATGCTGCCTTGTAACGCCTTCCGCCCCCAGCGCCAACATGCGCAAGGTGCAATGTTATTGCACATTTTGGCTTACCTCTGGGGCATCCAATCCTATGGGGCCATTTACTGCTATCGGACAATCAACTGGTCTAGCGGCCAGTGACCCACTTTCGCACGACAGTTGTGCATTGACGCACACATCGGCCTAGCGAACAAACTTGCGCGCGATGCCTAGGGCTTGCCACAAATCGGGGACGCAGACCACCATTGTGTTTCTATACAGAATACGCAGTTGTTAGTATTCTTCCCCATTCTCCTTATACGAAACTGGATGTGATGATTGAATGGGCTTTGAGCACGCCTGCTCCTTAGACCACTACAGGCTCTCCGGTGGCCTGACACTCTAAATAGTATTTTGTCTTTGCGAGAATAGTCACCCGGGTTCCGAGTAATAAACACAATTTAAGATTTTCACAAGGGAAAGAGGATTGTTGTCGCAAGCAGTCAAACGCAATCGACTGTCAAATATATGCCTGTAAGTAGATTTGGCAAATTAGTTAATATGATTTGACGCAAATTTTCGCATCCCAGATAAGTAACAGACATTTCAATCACCGGAACCATACTTTTATTCTTCCGAGCTTTTAGGCTCTTACTGTTGTCCATCGTCGGAGATAAAGAAAAACGTCAACGGTTATAGTAGGCAGGGGACAAGGAACCGTTGTAGGAGGGGGGGAGGCAATCGACCACCATTGCAATCAGCCTGGGGATGCCTGAGCTGGGCGGCGCCGGCGCCAGATCGATAAATCTGAGACCAAGACTGCAATCAGGAATGCGCGACCAACCTCGCAACTGCGAAGTTAACCTTGTGACCGGCTCGTAGGTGTAGGCAGTCACTAGCTATAACGCGTCACCCCGTCGTACAACCAGATTATGTTCGTGTTTGTGCGAACCAAGCATGAATGCTCTC